TGGGAGTCCGCTAACTCATTCTTGAGTGTGGAAATTATTGCAGGTAGTTGGTTAATTGAGTGCGTTGTTGTTGTTGTTATTGCCGCTACTGCTGCTGTTGCCGCTGATTTGGCTGCCGCTTTTACAGCTGTGCAGGTGTCCGCCGAAGGTGTGTCCAGAATTGATGAAATTGCATTTTTCATTTCAACCGCAATAAGTTTGTTGCTGCTGGTGACGGTCGACATGCTACGCTTAATATTGTCAAGCATTTCTTCAATGTGTTCAAGCACTGCGTCATGCGTCGCACTGAGGTTTTTGAAGTTAGTAAGCAATTTGTGATTTGCTTCCAAAGTATTGCCAATGTTTTCTTTGATGCCATTCAATGTTGTAGACAGTTCCTTCAGATTAAGTTCATTTATGAACTTATCCTGGCAGTCTTGGCACAAAGGCAGCATGAAGGTCCGAAGAATGTCTTCATGATTTCGCTGTGCACCAACACAACCTGCGTGAAAGGTCCGGTTGCAGGTGCCATGGCAGCGCCATAGAAAGCGATTGTCTTTTTGCACGCAATTCACTATTCCGCACTTCATTGCACTCGCGTCGGATGATAAAAAAAAACGTTTAAAATAAAATAAACACGGAGTTCGCGCGGGTCAGTTTTTAAAATATGATAAAAAATTGTTTGGATATTTAAAAGTATATACAAGAGCGCTGCTAAAGCGCGTCCGAACGCAAAGGTGGTTCGTTATGGAATGAATCCCACCAAGGCACCGTGGTCGGAGATGCCAATTTGGTGAACTTAATTGTTTTGTGGTCAAACCATTAACTTAATCCAAAAACTGTCTTCAGAAGAATTGTTCACAAAAACATTTCGCATATTATGACAATTACCAATATTTTTCATGGCATACTATGAAAAAAATAAGAAAACTAACTTTTTTGCATAAGAGACAGAAGGGTAGTTTTTTCAGCAAAGTTGTAGTACTTACAAAAATATGAAACTTTGTTGAAGACACCAAATTTGTATGACGAATACTTGTAAAGATATGAAGCGTTTTTGGTGGAAACCCCCTTAAATTATGTTTTTTAAGTATAACTTTTTTTATAACAGTTTTTGATGTAAACAATGTTCTAAATAAATGTAAAAAAACATACAAATACATGTTTTTGCTCAAGACAGTATGTGGCTAAAATCATCCCTTTCAAAGTTATAGAACTTTTTACATTTATTTTTCCTTAATTTCAGTTGCATATAGGCGAGAAGGTGGAAAACCGAGACACAGCACCAAATACTTTTTTTAAAGCTTAGACTCTGTACTACAAAGTAGTGAATGTTTGGTTAGCGCCAATTCATAAGTGAGTGAATAGGGTCACGTTGAATGTTCACGTGTTTGACATTTTTCTATATAAAAATAACCCCGTCTCCTCATTTATGGACGGTAAATTACGGATTATAGAAACAGATATCATCAAACTCATCCGTGAACAACAAGGAAATTTTCTGTATGTATCCATTTAAGTGCGCGTGTGAGGAAGAGTCTGCAGGTTGTTTTGGATTTAAAATGGTTTTGAAATTGGCTTTCACTTTCATTTATTCGCGTGAGTCAAGAAGATCACAATTATCTTGCTGTTGGGTAGTTTTATAACAATAATAATTGTTCTGAGAAGTTAAGATGATAACAAAAAAAAAAGTTTCACTCTTCATCTGTTTCCTCTTCGCTGTCTGAGAAATCTAACAAAAACTGTGTATCTTCGGAAAACTCTCTGTCCTTCCAAAACAGCAATAAGTGGATCTGAAGAAACTAATAGTCGCCGCATGAGATCACCGTTTGTTGTGGCTCGTGATGATTTTCGAGTGTGATCTAGTCTGAGCCTTTTAATCACTTTATTTAGAGACTCTTGTGCCTCTTCAGACAATTGTCCGATAGGAACATTGAAATGGAGAATTATGTCTGATCCGTGCATTAAAATCTTATGGACTGTGGCGGGCAAGTAAAACCAAGGGTATAGGGTTACTAGCAACTGAGCTGTTTCTAGACAATAGTTCTTGAACTTAGATGTATTGATTTCTCGTCCGGAAGACAAGACCTGCAAAATAGTTGAGCAACGTTCCATCACCTGCAGGTCGACACCCAAAATCTCTGCGGAAACTGCTGCACAGTGTTGGCAAAATCAGAAATCAATTGATATTTTCCCGTACTCATGCGCTCGTAATATCTCGCGTGATATTGGAACAAAATATCATGCTTGATATTGATTTTACAAGCTCCTTTGACATTGCGAGACTATCCACAACGTGCAAAAATCATGCTGAGAGTTGACTCGACACACAAATGATTCCATTGCACATAATTTTCTTTGAAAGAGAAAGCATAGTTTGCTATCTCTTTTTAATCTTCACCGATAGCAGGCGTGAAGGAACTGCTGCAAGCCATTATGGAAGTTGAAGTTGCGTTCGGGTGTAAAGCAAAAATCATGAAACTCAATCTCACCACAGTTTGGTGAGATTTGCAGTTGGTGAGTTTTGTTAGCTTGATATTCTGAGCTGCGATATCACAGCTTGCAAAATCAACCGCAGTTGTTTGCTTGTTTATTTTTGTTTACGAAAATCAACGCCCAAGATCGTTGGTGAGATTTGATTTTTTGATATTTTCCCAACACTGCATTCTCAAAGAAACGTCGCGCAGTATTCCCATCATTCGAAGAGCCGGCTCCATTGCCGTGTGCAATGTCAACAAGAAGTCCCAATTCTTGTTTGAAGCGTTGTTGAATAAGCTGCTTGCGGACTTTAATTGTTTCGGCATCAGGTCCAGAACATCTCCATTTTTTGACTTCTATTTTGTAGCCCAGGTGTAGAAAATATTCGAAAAATCTGTAGCAATTTGTCAAATTTGAATGGATTGAACAGCGTTATATTGCATTTTTATTATCTGATGTTTGCATAGAGAACTGATAATCCAAACTGAAATACTTCTTCATCGATTGGTCGCAAAAGAACATTTTGAATATTATTCATTTGAGTGGGTGTAGCCTTGCAGATATTACATCGCTGTATTGATTTGGTGGTCGTAACAGCATTAACAACTTTTCCATCAATCATGGTCATATGTAGCCTATATTTTACTCGGATCCGACGACCATTGATTTCGAATTCCGTTGGCCGAAGATTTTGGATCTGATTATCCACATGCTCTTTTTCTCTGAGTAACTTCAGTCGTCTCACTAACCAACTGAATTCGTATGGGTTGGCAGTATCTTGTTGAGGATGGTATAGGGTTTTGAAACAAAATTTTTGTGTCAGCTTCAGCCCTGACAGGAGCGATGGACGTTAAGAAAACATTTGCGTCTGTTTTAGTTCCATTCTCATCATCGGCAAACTTTTGCTTGTACTAACTGTGACCAGTACCACCGTCACATCCCCATTTTACAATCAGGATAACCTTCAATAGCTCTGAATCAGAAAAACTGTTGAGTGATGAACCTTCCAGGATTCGTTCGGCTGTGTGGTCAAGTAATGCTTGTAACTGAATTTCAACTACAGTTTCTCCAACCAGAAAAAAAGCTCTCCGGTGGGTAGCAGGTTTTCTTAGCTTCAAGTACTCTGTCATAACTAGGGTAAATATTACAGTTTCGTTTCTTGGATTGTGCTCGCAGTTGGTTGTACTCATGCTTACTAAGACTCAGATCCACAATCAAGGCAACCGCGTCAAGTGGGCTGTATGCAACAATGGAATCTGTGGGTTTATTTATCCTGATTTGCTGCATCGGACGAGTGGGTCAGTTCTTGCAATAATGACTTTGCAACATTTTTTTGCCTAGTATTTGTAAGTTTCATTTGAGCTGCATAAAGTCAATCTAAACTACAAAAGTTTCAAAATCATACATCAGTGAATAACAAATAAAAAAATCGGATCATTTTCAGAACATTGTAAACATACCTGCGTTATCAGAGGCCATGTTGATTTTAAACTTATTCAGCACGCTCCACAACACAAAGCATTTTTAGTTCAACCACTGGAGAATGACAACAAGAAAAAATAATAAGTGTGCCTGAAGCTGATGTGCTAAAGCAGACTAGCCAAGATACTCCGAACTAACTGTAAACTAAGAGCAACCGTAACAGTCGTTGTCATTTGCGCGACTATTTTAAGAGCGCACAGTGCTCTCATTTTAGTTTAGTCACTCTTCTCCACACCGGTCGCTGCTATCGCGGTTATCAATTTACTCGCCGTAGTCCGTACCGGTAGTGAGCATTTTGACAACCAAGGCATTTGAACGTCGTCAGTTTAAGATTTGAAATGATCAATATGGACAACAATTCGCTGTGTTTTTCTGATTCGAGCGACGACGACTTAGAATTGGTGAGTCGTATGTTAATTGATACGCAGGCCATGGTTACCGAACCGTCATATTCGCGAGAAGAAAACAGGCGCGCCGGGAGACGACCAAACATCAATAGGTTGGCACAGGAAGGAGCTGAGCGTCTTGTGGCGGATTATTTTTCGGATAATCCAACCTACAATGCTGATCAATTCCGAAGACGGTTTCGGATGCATCGTGAACTATTCGTGCGTATCGTGGCAAGTGTACAAGCTGCGAACGATTATTTTGTGCAACGAGCGGATGCTACTGGCAAAGTAGGATTAACGACGTTGCAAAAATGTACGGCAGCTATTCGGCAATTGGCATACGGTACACCCGCTGACGCAATTGACGAATATGCACGGATGTCGGAGTCAACGGCTCGTAATTGCATGCTACAGTTTTGCCGTACAGTTGTTCGCGTATATGCGGAACACTATTTGCGAGCTCTAAATAGGGACGACTTAAGGCGGTTGCTCGACGAAGGGCGTAAAAGAGGGTTTCCTGAAATGCTCGGTTCGTTGGAATGTTGCCACTGGGAGTGGAAGAATTGTCCAACAGCTTGGGCCGAGCAATACAAAGGTAAAGGGAAGAAGCCGACAATTGTACTAGAAGCAGTAGCTTCTTACGACCTCTGGATCTGGCATGCCTTCTTTGGTATGCCAGGGTCCACGAACGACATAAACGTATTGCAGCGTTCACCGTTGTTTGCGGATGTAAACTGCGGCAGGACTCCTCCAGTACAGTTCGAAATAAACAGTAGAAAGTACACCACCGGATATTACCTGGCGGATGGGATTTACCCTCCCCTTTCCACATTAGTTCAAACGATTCCTGCCCCAGTTGGACAAAAACGAAAAGTAAGTATTTTTCACGCAAAAGTTAAATGTTCTTCCTTTAAACCATCTTAAAACAAATATCAGGCATAACATTAGATAACGGCACAAAAGCATTTATAAACAAACTTTCTATGGCCCTTTTCACGTGAACCAAAATACGCCCACGCAAACCAATACCACTTTCGAAAGGTGATAGTTGCTCCTATCCGATGATGTTGTTGGTTTGTGTGGGAGTACTTTGGTTCGCGTGCTAAGGCCCTTTGCAAATGCTTTTGTGCCGTTATCAAATGTTATGCCTGATATTTGCTCAAAATAGTTGGTATTGTCGCAACAAGTCAATACTGAAATAGCCCACTAGAGGCAATTGATTTTACTCTTGCTCTGCACGATTAACATCGGAAGTACCGCGCATCATTGTGCGATTACAGCGCACTACATCCGTCTTTATATTTAACGTATGGAACAACAGTATAATCAATTGGTGCTAGTGGGTTATTCCAGGTTCAAACTGTTGAGACAAACCTCCTTATTCTGTGAGTTACATGACTCTGAGCCCGGTGAGATGACAATTGCCACTGCGAGTAAGGTGACTCTTCATTTGATTTGCATGGAGAGTCCCCTCACTCGCAGTCAGAATTGTCACCTTCTCGGTGACTGACTGAGAGTCACGTGACAGAATAAGGAGAACTATATTGTTGAAGCGCAACAATCCTTTGGTTCATCGATTGTTTTTCAAATCTTTGCAGCACTTCGCCAAACAACAAGAAGCAGCTAGGAAGGACGTCGAACGTGCTTTTGGGGTTCTGATGGCACGATTCGCTATTTTGAAGAATCCAGCCAGACTATGGCATAAAGATGATCTAGCAATAATCATACGTGCCTGCATTATTTTGCATAACATGGTAATTGAATATCAGCGAGATGCTTCAATCGAGGTCGACAGAGATACCTGGAACAACGACGAAACATTGAACATGGGTACATATCGTGATAATGTGAACTTCACAGCATTCCTTGAGCATTACGAAGATGTCCACAATGCAGCAGTACATCTCCAACTACAAGAAGATTTAATTGAGCATGTTTGGATAGTAAAGGGAGAAGAAGACGATTAATAAAACACACACACACACACACACACACACACAGACACACACACACACGCACACACACACACACACACACACACACACACACACACACACACACACACACACACACACACACACACACACACACACACACACACACACACACACACACACACACACACACACACACACACACACACACACACACCACACACACACACACACACACACATACACACACACACACACACACACACACACACACACACACACACACACACACACACACACACACACACACACACACACACACACACACACACACACACACACACACACACACACACACAACACACACACACACACACACACACACACACACACACACACACACACACACGCACACGCACGTGGGCTACAAATGGTGAATTGACAACCTGGGAAGAGCGTTTTTCCTATCTCTGGTCCTCACAAGTTCCTACCTCACACCTCCCCGTGGTGTAGCCTGGGCAATGTTGTCCTTCTGACAATAGCAAAGTGAGGGGTGCGACGCGAACACTGGCGCGGTAACCATAACACGGCGATCGAGGAAATGCTTCGTCAACCCGCAGGAGTGCCAACCGGCACATTAGGATCGACGCTAGTAAGATCCTTATTACGGCATACTGGATACGGCATGGAACTATGGACACGACACGGCACAAAGGATTGGATACCACGCTACAGGGCTGACAGTCGTGCTATTCTGCTCCCTAAGTAAAGAAGGGTGACACCTTCTTGAAATGGCGAGTGGGCTAATAGTGCGGCTGCCCCCGTCCCGGTAAAACCTTGGCAGGCCTCCGGATACGTTCAAAACTCGTCACCAATTGGTGATTGGTGAGTAGTAGACTCAGATGTAACATTCCTGACTTACGCCGATCTGGCTCTGAACACGGCCCCCATGAAGGACCGTGTCAACCCTAGCATGGCCTCCCTGCTTGCATAGATAACCATGGGATCACGATAGGCGACTACATACAACGAGTGGAGATAGCGGCCCGGAGGGGGGACCCACAGAATGGAGAAAAACGGAGAAAAAAACAAAAAAGAAGAAAATGAGAAAACCCAAAAAAATATGAAGGACGACGGCAAGACGCCAGAAATTGAAAACGGAGGAGCGAACGTGTTCGCAAGGAGCGGGATATTGCAGAGATCACCAGTGTTGAACCTGGAGGCAACAGCGAGTTCCAACAGCAGCAGTAAGCCCCAAGGTGAGCAGCAAGGACACCAAGGAGAGCTAGGTCTTATGCTAAGCCAGGTGTTCACACCGAAATCCAGCAGTAGCACACCCCAAGAAGGATTGCAGCTTGGGAAGACCAAATTGATGGAGGTCAGGAGGAGGATCAATGAACTCCATGACTTCATCAAGGATAAGAGCAACGTCCACAAGGCAATAAAGGAAATGGTGACGGGCATCAAATCCGCCATTATTGCTGCCGAACGTGAACAAGATGCGCTGAGGACGAGGTCCGTAACTGCCGAAAGGGCACTGATCGAGGCCAAGGAGAAAGCAGCAGCTGAAATACAGGAGACGCCAAAGGGACCTCGAAATCCACGCTCGGAGAAGAGGAAAAGGGAAACTCCAGGAGAGGAAGAGGAGTTGAAAAAAGTCAAGAACGACAAAGAAGACAACAAGGAGGAAGGCTGGCGTACCGTCGAGAAGCCAAAGGAGAAGTGGAAAAAACGGAAGGAAAAAGACGTGAAGAAGAAAGCTGAACAGAAGAAGGAGATACCCAGGACTCGTCGGGAGCGAAGTAAGGGCGATGCTCTGATCGTCGAAGCTAAGGACAAAACGTCGTATGCAGCACTCCTCCGGAAGGTACGAGAGGATCCGGAGTTGAAGCAACTAGGAGAGAACGTGGTGAAAACCAGGCGAACCCAGAAAGGCGAGATCCTCTTTGAGCTGAAGAAGAATCCTGCTATCAAGAGCTCAGCCTACAAGGAGCTCGTTGAAAAGTCTCTTGGCGAAGGGGCGAGCGTAAGAGCTCTATCCCAGGAGACAGTGGTCGAGTGCAGGGACCTGGACGAGATCACCACAGAAGAGGAGCTAAGAAGTGCGTTGAGAGTGCACTGCGATCTGGGAGATGTCCCGATGTCAATCCGCATGAGGAAGGCGTACGGCGGCATGCAAACGGCGGTTATACGGCTTTCGACAGCTGCAGCGAATAAGCTGTTGGAGACGGGCAAGGTCAAGGTTGGCTGGTCATTGTGCTCGCTGAAAGCCACTCCTCGGGTTACCAAGCAATTGGAGCGATGCTTCAAGTGCATGGGATTCGGTCACCAGGCGAGGAACTGCAATGGCCCTGACAGATCTGATCTGTGCAGGAAATGCGGAGAGAAAGGCCATATTGCAAGAGGCTGCACGAAGCATCCGAGGTGTATGCTCTGCAAAAAAGAGGACGGTAACGATCATACGACGGGAGGCTTCAAATGCCTAGCATACAAAAAGGCGATGGCAGGCCAACAGTAATGGAGGTAACCCAAATAAACCTCAATCATTGCGACATTGCTCAGCAACTGTTGTGGCAGTCGACAACAGAAACAAAGTGCGACGTTGCAATCATTGCGGAACCGTATCGAGTCCCTCCCGATAACGGTAACTGGGTTGCGGATAGAGCTGGGATGGCAGCTATACAAGTTATGGGCAGATACCCCATTCAAGAAGTGGTTGCGAGCTCATACGAAGGCTTCGTCATCGCCAAAATCAACGGAATCTTCATGTGTAGTTGTTACGCACCCCCCAGATGGACGATGGAGAAGTTCCACGAGATGCTTGATGGACTTACCGAAGAGCTGGTCGGACGACGACCGGTAGTCATCGGAGGAGACTTCAATGCTTGGGCAGTGGAGTGGGGAAGCAGGTGTTCCAATGCAAGAGGGCACAGTCTGCTGGAAGCTCTGGTAAAACTGGAAGTTATGCTGGCCAATAAAGGCACCAGCAGCACTTTTCGCAGAGATGGCCGAGAATCCATTATCGACGTTACTTTCTGCAGTCCGTCGCTGATGGCAAACATGGATTGGAGAGTGTGCGAAGGATATACCCATAGCGACCATCAGGCGATACGATATGGCATCGGTCAACGGAATACTGTGGCAGTACGGAGGACGAGAACTTGTGACCGAAAGTGGAAGACGAAAGCTTTCGACAAGGATTTGTTCGTTGAGGCACTTCGTGCGGACGGGAGTCCCGTAGATCTAAATGCGGACGAGCTGACAGAAACGTTAGTGAGAGCATGTGACACGACCATGCCGAGGAAACTGGAGCCAAATAACAGACGGCGTCCAGTCTACTGGTGGAACGAGGCACTTAGTACTCTCCGCGCTAGTTGTCTCAGAGCCAGAAGACGTGTTCAGAGAGCAAGAACGGAAGCAGACAGAGAGGAACGAAGAGAAGTGTTTCGAGCGGCCAGGGCCGCTTTTAAACGAGTGATTAAGCAGAGCAAGTCGAACTGTTTTAAGGAGCTGTGTCGAGACGCTGATGCCAACCCCTGGGGTGACGCATACCGAGTCGTGATGGCGAAGATCAGAGGTCCAACGATGCCCGCTGAAATGTGCCCAGAGAAGCTGAAAGTCATCGTGGAAGGACTTTTCCCGAAGCACGACCCAACAACCTGGCCACCTACACCGTACGGAGAAGGAGAGGGAGATAACGTCGAAATCACCAACGAGGAGCTCGTAGTAGTGGCGAAAGGATTGAAGGTGAAGAAAGCTCCCGGTCCAGATGGAATCCCCAACGTAGCGTTGAAAGCGGCGATCCAGTCATCCCGGACATGTTCAGGATGGTGCTGCAGAAATGCCTGAACGAGGGTCACTTCCCTGACAGGTGGAAGATACAGAAGCTAGTGTTGCTGCCGAAACCAGGAAAACCGCCGGGGGATCCAGCATCATACAGGCCTATATGCCTGCTGGATACACTCGGAAAACTCTTGGAGAGGATCATCCTAAACAGGCTGACGAAATACACGGAGAGTGAGCACGGATTGTCGGAGAGGCAGTTCGGATTCCGGAAAGGGAGATCTACGGTGGATGCAATTCGGACAGTGGTCGAGAGAGCTGAAAAGGCGTCCAAACAGAAGCGGAGAGGAGATCGATATTGCGCCGTGATAACGATCGACGTCAAGAATGCGTTCAACAGCGCCAGCTGGGAGGCCATCACCGAAGCACTGCATAGAATGAGGGTCCCTGACTACCTGTGCAGGATCCTGAGGAGTTATTTCCAGAACCGGGTTCTGGTCTACGAGACAGACATGGGACAGAGATCGATTAGGATCACAGCGGGAGTTCCACAAGGCTCCATCCTTGGTCCAACGCTCTGGAACGGGATGTACAACGGCGTGCTAACGCTGAAACTGCCCAAAGGAGTTGAGATCGTTGGCTTTGCGGACGACGTCGTCTTGACGGTAACAGGCGAGACGCTGGAAGAGGTGGAAGTGTTGTCAACCGAGGCAATCGACATGATTGGTAACTGGATGAAAGGAGCGAAGCTGCAAATAGCCCACCACAAAACGGAAGTGTTATTGGTCAGTAACTGTAAAGCGGTACAGCGGGCAGAAATCACCGTCGGGGAGCACACCATAGCCTCGAAGCGTGTGTTAAAATACCTGGGAGTGATGATCGATGACCGGCTAAACTTCAACAGCCACGTCGAATATGCCTGTGAGAAGGCTTCGAAGGCCATCAACGCGATAGCTAGAATCATGCCGAACAACGCTGGTCCCAGCAATAGCAAGAGGCGTCTTCTGGCCAGCGTGTCATCATCGATACTGAGATATGGAGGTCCAGCCTGGGTTCCAGCGCTGGAAACGAAGCAGAACCAAAGGAAACTGAGCAGTACGTTCCGGCTCATGGCCATGCGAGTCGTGAGTGCGTACAGAACCATCTCGTCCGAAGCAGTATGCGTTATCGCCGGTATGATCCCTATCGGCATCACCCTGGCGGAGGACAGCGAGTGCTACAGGCAGAGAGAAGCCGGAAGAGTACGGAAA